TTGATATCATAGAAAGTTTAACCCACCATTTGTGGTTTCACTTAAACTGCGGATTGGAGTATTTCCTCAAGTCAGAATCTTGGGAACATAGTAATTCAATGGTATTATACAAAACAATCATATTGATAGCTAAGTATTACCACTTGTCAAAGCATGACTTAAATGTTTAAAAAATATACTTTCTGCTTTCCATATCAGGAAATATTAATAAGATAAATTATTTAAGTTATTCTAATTATATGATCATGTATAATCTTTCTCCTTTTAGTTTCTCACATTTCCTTTTAAAATTCTTAAATTCTGCAGATTTTTCTCTGTTATGTTTAGGATTGGGGCTAATTTCATCTTTGGTCAAGTCATGAGGCAGTACGTTTTACACTGGGGACCAGGGAGATGGAACTGTTTCTTTCTTCAGTAATATTTTAGCATGCACAGAACTTGGCAGAGAATGCAAGGGTCCAAGAAATGCATTATCTCTGTCCTCTTAGGTTTCATGATCTTTTTTTGGCAGGGGAGGGAAACAAGATAAATACTCCTCTGCTCAGCTACTGTGCAATACCACACACAAAAACAAATAATTTAATACATAACTAGTAACACCAAATAAACAATACAGACCTAACAAACATAGTTCTTTCCCGGGGTGGTGGCACAGATGCTGAGGGTAGGGGATACTTTCTGAGGAGCTGAATTTTAGGCAGGGCTCCTCCTATGCCTAGAAACTGTCTCTGGGAGGTCAGAGGCTCAAATCATCAAAATTGGTTAATTTGGCTGCTTTGCCCCTCCCTTGAAATTAGGGTCAGCTCCCCTACTGTTCATGGTCCTCTCTGGGCAGGCGTCCTTGCCTGTGCTTCCCTGTCATTACGCTTTTCCCACCTCCTGGCCTAAACCCCATATGACACCCAAGGTTCAGTGTGTCCTCTCTCAGTTGGCCTCTTTTTTTCCCCCTACCTTGGCAACATTATGGGACTTTGTGCAGCTGCCCTCTCTGGTCACTTTTCCTCTGTGTGACCCGTATGTGTGCAGAAAGCCACTCACTGCATTCCTTTGGGAGTCTACTTGTGCTGTGTTCCCACTCAGTCTTTCTCTGGATTGTGGCATTTCTTGTCCTTCCTTGTACCATAACTTTCATGGGGCACTTCCCCCTCCAGAGTGTTTTGACATTGGATCTGGTCTCTTCCTTAGTAGCTCCCCCTTTGCCTCTAGTTTCTGTTGTCACCTTGCCAGATTCCAAGTGTCCAGTGCGCCCAGACCTCAGACATGCTTGCCTCATGCTCTCTCATTCCCTCCCCTCAGCTGATTCACATCCTATCTCCAGGCCAAGCTAAGACCTCTTCTTTCCCTGAGCTACATGTATATTATATTCCTTTGTGTTAATTGTATCTCATATTATATCATAAGCATCCTGTATGACTTCCTATATAAATTTGTCAATTCAGAGAAACCATTTTGCCTCCAGTGCTATGCTTTAAAAGAGTGCTACCAGTAAAAACATTTTTATCCTTTGGCCATAAACCTATAATTTGTGGTCTAAATCTCATATATCAAATCTTAAGTAATCTTAAAAAAGTACTATTATAATTTACTAACATTTCCAAGTACAGTAAATCCCTGACTACAAACAAGTTCCTTACTGGGAGAACATCATAAGTCGAATTTGCTCAAAAGTCGAATAAAGTGAGCCTTATACACCTTTGACACAAATATACAATGTAAAGCATTAAAAAAAAAACACACAAAAATACAATATGTCTCCAACTGTACTGTATTCTGTACACTGTCAATCTGTATATTACACACACAGCAGCACAACTGTGACAGTGCCTGGCAGATACGTGAGCTACTTCCATGATTTGTTTGCATCTATGATTGTTCTAATGTGAGATCCATTTGTATCTGTTAAAGTTCACAACTTGAATGTTTGTAAGTCAGGGACTTACTATAAATTCAAAAGTTTATGTAATGCTTTATTAAAAAGATACTGGAATAGGACTGAGAATGTAGCTAGGTTAGAAAGGACTTACCTAGCATGCACACAGTCCTGGGTTTGATCTCCAGCAACCATCCCCCAAAGTTACAAGAATAAGTAGGTGTAAATGGGAATGATTTTCCTGTCCTGATGATACCTAGAGGTATCTGTACCAACAAGAGGACACTATGCTTATGCAGGTATGGGCTGTATAACATGGATAGGGTTTCTCCCATTTTAATGAAAGTAGTCATCTTAAGTAGTAATTAACTCTGGCTTAATGAGGACGACTTCTAAGAAGATGTATGTGCCACCATTTGACAATACCAGCTCACATTTCGAGTATCTCCCACTCCTGAGTTGGCAACACCTGCCATACTCCATTTCCTGTGCTTTCCAGTTGAGCATCAGTTGCCAAGATCAAGGCCTTCATTGGGTGGCGCTCTCAGGTTCCCCAGACTTTTCATCCAGGCCCTCAGGGTGACAGCTTGGCTCAGCAGGAAAAGTGCAGACTTTCAAGTCAGCAGATGCAGGTTAAGTACATACTCAGTCACATACTCTGTCACTCTAATGTGCCGTCTGTACACACTGAGTGAAGCTTCCTCAGTGCCTGCTCCACAGGGAAGTCTGGGAGCTCAGCGGCACTGTGCCTCTCCCTGCTGCGGGATCTCTGGAGTCTAAAGATCAGTAATCTCCTCAAGCCTAATCTACCTCACTATGCTGGAGCTCTGAAGGCCTAAGGCTAAAGCTCTCCAGATTGGGTGCTCTGGGAGAAAGGGAAAGAAGAAGTCTACACGTTCGTAGATTATAAAACCTGTTGTGTATATCATTTAAACAGTACCTAGTCCAGTGGTGGCGAACCTATGGCACGTGTGTTGTTTTTCTTTTAAGACGAAAGAGATTAATGCACAAGTTGTTTTTTCTAAACTAAAACCATAGTATTCCGGTTTAACTGCAGTGTTGTCACTTTGTGATAAATGAGTGAGAGTTTTGGCTTGCAGTTTGGACACTTGTCTGTAAAAGGTTTGCCATTACTGAAAATATAGATGTGGAAACTTTTTCTGGTAAGAGAAAAGCTATTTGGTTTGAAGAGATTTACTTGCTCCCTCATCACTGACACAGAAGCCCCATTGAGCCATGTATGAAAACTACTGATCATGTTTATAAACACATTTTTTAATTTAACCAAACAAATCCCAGAGGAGTAAAAGGACTACATAATTGATCAGTTAGATCAGTGGAGAAGTAGATGGGCTCCTAGGCCTTCTGGTTCATGGTGTAATTATTTCTTTATGACATTAGGCTAGATAAATATCTCCCTGTAACATGTCTTAGTGTTTTAAAAAATATATATGTATAATAACATCTCAAAATTAAACAGTTAGCATTCCTTGTACATGTATGCAAAGACAAAACACCTCATTAATATTTTCAGAGTATGGGTAGGCCAGGACTTCCTTACTATCCATATATGCTAGTAATTGCAGCATATTTATGAGGCCAAACTGAACATCTGTTTGTTGTTACATTATATGTACACACATATATCTCTACATTTATATGTGTGTATATCAGGAAGAATGTTTGCTATAAAGACATCTGTCACTATTTTTTATGGAATTAAAATATCCCGTTCAGAACACAAAATTTTAAGGTTGACCAAGTTCCATTATGGACGTGTTTTTAAAACTATAAAAATAGCTGAAATAAATGACTCTTTGAATTTAAGAGCAAAGGTTCACTTGGTCATTCTGATTTTTGGCTCTCTCAGTGATTTGGCTGCCTTTATAGAATTGGGAAGAGAAGTGCACAGCAGTCCACAGCGTGCATTCTGTACACACACCAACCTTGCCTGCTGTCCTTAAGCTCTTCAGGGTGACTACATCCTCCCTGGGAGTCCCTGGGCCCAGGCAGAGGAGTCTTCAGCCCATTGTGATCCCTTCTGACTGACTCATACCATGCTCCTGCTACTGAATATTCTTGCTTATTGACTTCCCAGAGAAGAGAGACTTTGACCTATTTATTAGCTTTTCTTTAAAACAGCATCTGACCTGCAGCTGAGTAAAATAAACTGAGTAAAGTCTGAATAAGGAATGAAGGAATGGTTCAGTAATCATTCTCTGTGTCATCCAAAATTGCTAATTACATTGACTCATTCAATTTTAGTCCCCTTTGGAACTAATTTTGTTTATGGCAGAGATGACCTTAAAGTGTTTATGTCAGTGTATTTATATCTGTACAGCAAAAGGACTGCACAAAGATTGTTAGGTAAGTATGTAACCTTATCTCCTTGTTTTTACCTGTATCAAATTCAGCTTGCCCAATTTAGTGATGTTGATTTATTTGTAAACTAATTATGAATCTGAACTTTTTGTTGGCATGCAATTGTACGCTTTCTATTCTATTCTGTTCTTAACCACTTGGGGTTAGTATTTAACCCATGTATTTAACAATCATCTTCATGTGTTGTTCAAATCACAGAATCCTGGATATTGAGAAAAAGTGCTAGCCGAGCTTGGTGGCACATGCCTGCAGTCCCAGTGCCTGGGAGACTGAGGCAGGAGGATTACCAACAGTTCAAGGCCAGCCTTGGCTACATAATGAGCTCAAAGCTGACCTGAACTCTAGTGAGACCCTGTCTCAAAAAGCCTAAAAAAAAGAAGAGAAAAAAGTGATTAGAAATAAGGTCACAGGAATAACTCAAATGGAGTAAGCCAAACTTTCACACCTTGGAAATTACCTATGAAACTGTTACACATGGTTGAATGTGCTGGTTTCTCTCAGTTTTACACAAACTATCAGTGATAATAACTACACTCATCATGTAAACAGTGTTTTCTCAAACATTTTACATTTTTCTCTGGTTCTCCAAACAGCCATGTAAAGTAGGGCTAGGAAGTTCTCCAGGTGGTGGAAAAATTATTAAAAGATTTAACAGATACTAAAACCTGAAAAATTAGAAGAAGCTGCCCAAGGTGGGCAAGAATTTAAGTTCTGAGTCTGGTGTTTCTTCAAAACTGAGACTAACAAAAGAAGTCAACATAGTTTATGTATATGTCTTATAAATTTTTGTGACAATACAAAGATAAAGGACATTATATAATGAAAACTTTAATGTATAGTTTTGGTAGGGCCTAGTACATAGTAAACACTACAGCTTTATGTTCAGTTGAACAGAGTAAAAGGATACATTTCAGCAAATTAGGGCAAAGGAGATAAATGCTATGACCAAAGTAACAAAATTTTTTAAAAGTGTGCGTATTAGATTTATATTTAACTGAGGATATAGTCAAGAATAGTTAATTTGTATTTTTAGCAAATGCTACTGCTTTCCGTAATATTTTGATTTTTGAGTGAAGAATAGTGAGGATAAGAATAATTTTGTACTTACAGAAGTTTCAAAAATAGTTTGGAATTTATGTAAACCTTTCTGCTAGCTTCCCTTAATGTTACCAGTGTACCTACAGTACAAAGATCCAAATGGGAGTTAGCACTGCGGTGGTGTTTTGATTTCACAGATGTAATGAATAGAAGGAACCAAGCCTAACCCAATACTGAGGTATGTTTATACCAGTAATTAATAAATCACTATTTTAACATAATAATAAACAGTTATTCATAAATTCTTCCTATTTTTTTCCATCTGTATGCTTCTTGTCTTGAACTACAAAACACATTATTTTTGATGGTAATTGGAGAGTTCTTAGCTAATGATCAAACAAATTGTAAAGGATGTATTTATTTGGTTTAGCTCAGCATGCTGACATTCTATCTTAGTGAGGTAACTTCTTTCTAGAGATGGGAAACTGAGTGTTTTTTCTTTCACTGAAACTCCTAGAAGACTATACATTTTATTTATCCCTTTGCTTGCTCATCTGTGGGATGGCAAATCAGATGGACTAGTGTAATGATACTGAGTATAACAGGATTATGTTTCTCATTAATGACAGATTCTACTACTATAACTACATGAGTAAATCTTGTAAATGGCAGAACAAAACTTGGATTTACTTGATGTTTTGTGGTTTAAGAACAATACTCGAGTATGATCTTATGCATGAAAATGCATAGGGTGATATTTCTCTTGCTTTAATATAATTATTTTCAAGATGAAGATGTTCCAAAGTTGAGTCATCATCCTCTTCAGCATTACAAATTTGTTCTGGAAGAATATTCCTAAAGAAAAATAGAGAGCAGGTTATATACACTCGAATCTAGCAGGGTCACACCCTACAAATAGAGAAATCTTATTTGCAATTTAAAAACCATACGAGTTATGCTATGGTACAGTTATGGTTCATCCCTTAAGGGACATATGCTGGAAGCTTAGTCCCTGTTGTGGCAACATTAAGATTTGGTGGAACCTTACAAGGTGGAACATAGTGAGAAGTGTTTTGGTCATCGAGGGCATTTTCTTGGAAGGGATTAATACAGGTCTTTTGGAATGAATTCCTGCACAAGTGGGTTGTCAGAAAAAGGCTAACAGTGGCGCTTCCCCAGTCATTCTGTCTCTGACTTTGTGTGATTTCTCAACACCCTCCTACCATTGTGATACCATCTGGCATGACCAGAGCTGAGATACAAGTGCTGAATGGAATGGCTGCCATTGGTGAAAGAGAAGAGTTTCAGAAGGACTGCAGTGGTTTGAAACATACTGAATATATAAAAGCACAAGTGCAGCTTAATCTGCAGAGAAAGAACCTCAAAACAAAATAATAAAGTAAAAGCATGTAAGCACCAAGGTCTTAATTCTGACTGACAGTTTAAAGGAAATTGTGTTTATCCTCCCTTTCAGAGTAAAATAGTAGTCCTAGGTGAAGAGCAAAAAATTTCTTTACAGAGTACTTTCAGTTACGATACATAGAAAGAATAACAAAACAAATTATCACTTTATTACCTCTGATGAAATCATAGATTCAATTGACAATCATCTATAAGTGAAACCATTGGTTAAGTGATAGAGGGGAAAGTCTGTGATGAGGACACCAGGTTATGACTACAAAATATACAGATAAAGTTTGGAATCTCTAAAAGCGGGACCTTGTATGCCTTCTTATGCACTGGAATATGGAGCATATAGCATAACCTGTGAAAAAAACTTTGAAACAGAGTCTTACAAAGCTCTCTCCACCTCACCTCTTCTCCCACTACTTTGCTCCCCTATTCCTCCCATTGCCATACTGAAGATTGAACTCAGGGCTTTCACACTGACATACATTCTCAGACCTTCTTAATTTTTATTTTGAGACAGTTCTCACTAAGTTACTTAATGTGAGGGAGGACTCAAACTTTCAATCCTACTACTCAAGCCTTCGAGAGTGCTAGGATTAAGACGTGCCAACACTCCTGGCTAAGCACTTTTGAACTTTTTTTTTTTAAGGTATTTAATTTGGAATTTTAGAGATAGGAAAAGGATAGGTTACTGTTTCCCTCACTGCCAGTGGTGAAAAATTAACTCACAAAGATGAGACCTTGAATCATTCATGTGTCTAGGTGGGGTGATTTCTGAATGCAGGCAGAAACATATGTCTTCAAGAGTGATGAAAGTTCATTCTCAATAAATTTATTCATAGTTTTACTTCAGAAAAATCTAGATAGAAGAAGCCATTTAATTTTAACATATATTTAGATTTGTTCTCTGTAGATGGGTCTCTTTTAAATTTACATATGTAGGGCCAGGGATTTGGCTCAGTGGGTCCACTGCCTGCCTCACAAGCACAATGGCCTGAGTTCAAGCCCTGGTACAAAAAAACAAAAAGCAAAAAAAAAAAGAATTACATATATAGGCAGGTATACTGGCTCTCTATCAGTATGACAGAACATCTGTGAAAATCAGCTTAAGGGAGGAAAGATTTATTTTGGCTGAGCTTCAGAAGTTTTAGTCCATGATTTTTTGGACCCATCACTATGGCCCTATTGCAGTGGCGGCAAATCTATGACGTGTGTAACACAGCCAGCTGTTTGTTAACATTGCAAGCTCTGAAAGGTTCACATCACTGCCTATGGTGAGGCTGCTCATCATGGCAGCAAATGCATGGTAGACTGGAGCTTCTTACCCCATAGTAGGCAGGAAAGCAAGAATGAGCAAGGAAGGGGCCAGGCCCCATGTATCTTTCAAGGCACATCTCCAATGATGTACTTCCTCCAACTGGTCCTGCCTCCTAAAGCTTCCACCACCTCTCCTAATGCCACTTACTTGGAACCAAGTCTTCAACACACGAGCTTCTGGGAGACCCTGAAGTCTGAAACCATAATAATAGAAGCAACTGCATAGTCACTTTACTGCTTAGCAGCCTTATCTGAACCTGTTTGTAAGAGTCTATGTATTGTGTAATAATACTCTACTTAATAATACTATGGAATTTTCCAAACTATAGAAAAAACTATAATGAATCTTGATGTATCTATTACCCTACTTTAACAATTATTAATATTGCCAGTCTTGTTTAAGCAACAACTTAGCAGTTGTTTTTTATATTGTTTCTCATGTGTTTGTGAGGTTTTTGTAGTACTAGAGATTTTACTCAGAGCCTTTGCAATGAGCTGTCCCCAGACTTCTCTTTTCTTTTCTTTTTTCTTTTTTTCTTGAGACAAGTTCATGCTAAGTTGCCCAGGCTGGATTTTAATTCATAATTGTCTTGCCCCAGCCTTCCTGAGTGCTAGAATTACAGGTATGCACCATCACAACTCAACTCCTTAGCACTCCTTTTCACCTTAAAGTAAATCCAGAGTTCATGTCATAGTTGTTTAATCATAAATATTTGTTGCACAATTTAAATTAATATTTGAAAAAGCCAAAATTTACCGAATCTTATTGTTGTTCAGCCTCAGAAAATGTAGTGCTTTCATTTCTTGTATCCCAGGTGGTATACATTTTAAGCCATTGTGATCTAGAAATAACTCTCTCAGAGAATGATATGCCCCATAGAATGAAACTTGGTCCACGCCGTCATCAGTGAGTTTGTTAAATGACAGGTACAGGTATTCCAGGCCTGGCTCCATGTGGCCAAACACATAGCCTGGGATCAGTTCAATCTGGTTCCCCATGAGCACTAGGTGCAGCAGAGACTTGGGTAGGTAGGAAGGGACGCGGTAGAGCTTGTTGTAAGAAAGATCAATCGATTCTAGGTTTCTGCAGCAAAGAAAAAGTGAACATAGTGGGGAACCAACCTCAGGGTAATGACTGGCAGCTTCAAATTTTGAAAAGGTCAATTGTGATATGGTCTATTAGCGCCACGTTGAAGTGATAATTCTAAGCATGAACTTGACTGTGCTGGCCTGAGTCTGACTGGCTCCAAGGCTCATGTTCTTATCAGCACCATGCTACCTTCCAGCTAAGGGTTTGCATCAGAGAAACATAGCAGAGCACAGGAGGGAAGACCCAGATCCCTGAGGTAATGGGGAAGTCACAGTGGCAGAAAGATGTTCCCTAAATATTTCTATGGTCAAACTGGAATCAGAAATGAAATCTGTGGGTCCCTGGCCAAGGAATTTTCCCCTTTGTTTTTGTTTTGGAGTTTTCTGCAAGTTTTATTTTTGTCCCATATTTTCATTCCACATTAGATTTGATGATCTGGTACACTTGTGATTTGGAGTAAGACTAAGGAATCTAGAAGTTGTTTTCGGCCAGAGGATCCCAGGAAACTCCCTGGTAAGCTCCCTGGCTGGTTTCAGGAGCTTCCCTCTAGAATGCCTGGATGAAGACTTTACCATTCACAAGGACTCACCCTCCAGCTGGTCCCCAAACCCTCTAATTTAATCTCTCCCCATCCCACATTTGAATGACTGATGTCCTAAGCTGAACTACCCAGATTATTCCATTCTGAGACACACAGCATATGTCCGGATCATCAGTTGACATGCTGCCAAGAGCTTGCCTCCAGCTCCCTTTCCATTCATTGAGGGGTGCAGCAAGCCTGCTGCTATCCATCTAGGACAATGGGATCTACTTTCTGCCTCCACTGTCAGGCCCAGCCTTTTACAATCTATTTTGTAAGACTTGAAATGGAGAAATAGTTTGGACAACAGAGGACAGTGGTATGGGAGGACAGGCCTGGCCTTTGGAGCCTGTTTTTCCTAATGGTGATGAGGAATAGGGTGGCACATTTCTTCCTCACTGTATGCGGGGTATTATTCCGTGCAAGCTTCCTGACAGCCCATGAGGCAGGAGGAAGTAAAGCAGCACCTGAGGTTGTGATCCAACCTCAGTTCTCGGTAGCTCAGCTGTGTCGTAGGGTGCCCACTAGTCAGTAGTGATCCTAATACCATGTAACAGATCATTTGGAAACTCCACGAAGTGGCCAAATTTGGGTAGGGCAAGGGTTCTCTGTTAGATAGCAGCATATACTTACTCCTGATTTATCCAGGCTAAAGGAGCAATTCTGTTTTCTTCTATTTTATTATAACGTAGTACAATCACATTGATCTTTCTGGTATGATTGAAACAAATTTCAGTTATTTCTTCAATTTGGTTATTTTCTAGGTGTAATTCCTATAATTAAGAGAAAAGAGTATTATCTTTCCCCTTGTGTTTGTTAATAAATACATTTATTTTCACAGATACTAAAATTGTAATGATTATTTTCATCAGTATTATCTAAAGACTTTTAAGTGAGTTTAGTTTTAAATTGTCAGATTTTATAACTTATAAAATAAAATTGTATCTGATTATGAAATTAAGTAGTTTTATTTAGTTTTTAAAGAATATATGTTGCACGATTCAGCATATCATATACAATTTGCAAAACCTAGGATCTCATTTGTAGTTTGAAAGTTTGGAAAGGAGGTGGAAATTATCATCTCCACTCACTATTGAGTAACTCAGGCCCAAAGAGATCATGGTGCTTGCCCACAGTTCAAGGACTGATACATGAAGGGGCTCTTACTACCAGAGCCTTTAGCTCCAGACCGGCTTTCTGCTATTCTGTGAGGTCTATATTGTTTTTAGACTTTCATGTATTTATGTATGTTTTTTTGTTGTTTTTTTTTTGTTTTGTTTTGAGACACGGTCTCACTATGTAGCTGAGATTGACCTGGAACTCACTATGTAGCCCAAGCTGGTGTCGAACTCACAGCAATCCTCTGCCTCAGCCTCCCAAGTTCTGGGATTATAGGCATGTGCCACCACGCCCAGTTTTTGTTTTTTGGTGTTGGGGATCAAACTCAGGACCTTGTGCTTGCGAGGCAGGCTGCAGAACCACTGAGCTAAACCTCCAGCAGACTTACATGTATTTAATTAAGAGTTAATTGATTAATTGAGAGCCTTAATTTAGGATCACGATATTTACTAGTACTATTAGAAAATTTTTAAGAGATAGTTGCCTTCAAGTTAAATTTAATTTGCATTTAAATGAATTTTTACTAGAGAATATGAATTATAAAATTCTGCTTGTTCTGGTTAGAATGCAGAAAGCGAATTAGCATGTACCTTCAGTGTAACTTTGCATTCCTGATCTAGTAACTCTCCCCTTTGTTACTTAATTGTAGTATTTCTTAGTAAAGCAGTTTTCAGCTTTTTGCTTTTACTTTCACACATAATTTCTAGATAAGCTAGATCAGTGGTTCTCAAATGTGGTTGTATGTTAGGATCACCTCATGAGCTTTTTAAAGTATAAATTCCAACCTAAATGTCTGCCAGTAATGGAATAGTTAAGTCCTGACTACTATCAGTACCTAGACTACTGGCAGTTATAGGAAAGAATGATAATGTAATGAGATGATGTAGTATGCAACAGTGAGTTTAGAAGGGTTTATAACACACACCATGCACTTGTGCGCTGGTGTACACAGCACTTCCTGGATTGGAGCGGGAAGTCAGGATGGGAAGGTCAGACATAGGGGCATGTGTTCTTTTGTACTGTCTAAGTTGAGTGTGTGTGTTTCACAGGTGGTAAGCACTGTCTACTGATCTTTTTAAAATTTTTAAATTCTGCCAGGGATTTAGCTCAGTGGTTCTGGGGCTGCCTCCCAAGTGCAAGGTCCCAAGTCTGATCCCTGGTACCAAACAAACAAAAAAACTGTAAATTCTAGCTCTGCTTTCCAAAGAATCTGTCTTAGCATGTCTGGGATTGGTTCAGAAGCCTGTATATTGTAGGAACCCAGGTGATTGATCAACATGAGATCATAATAGGTGGCCTTCTGATTGACTGGGCCCACCATCAGGTATAGCTCCATCCTGACTTCAGGTGGGATGATCACATGGTGTTGTAGCAACAGCTCAGGGAAACCTGGGTTCCAGCTGGGTCTGTTAGTATTTATAGACCCTGTGAACCTCAGTGTCCCTAATGCAGGAATTGCAGAGTGTTGCCCCTCATTGTTCAGAGACTTCCTTAGCATTCTTTGCAGCAGGGAGACTACCCTACTGGGAACTGTTGGGGATACAGTAGAAGGATTAAAACAATGATAGTGCTTTGGGCCTGGAGTTAGTTGCAGGACAGGCTTGGTAGGAGCTAGTCAAAATTTATAAGCTACAGAGTTGCAGAAACAGGCAAGGCCTTCTATACTACTTGCACCTTCCATTTGCTGTTTGGTAAGAGTATCTAACTTTACGTGGAACTTGTGAGTGGAGACAGATGGTACTGACAAAGATGGAGCTATTCTGCATTGATCTTCATAGTTCTGGCCTGGGACAGTTTGAACTGTCTTAAGAGTGGGTACATTTTGGAAGTTATAGTTTCTGTTCACATTTTTTATTTCTCTTTCCCTTTCCCCTCAAGAGCTGTCAGCAGTAGCATTTTTCACTTTATCAGGGGCATATAATGCTTATATTATAAAAAATTGTATATAGCTCCAAACTCTTCCATAGTCCTTTAAGAGATAGTTGGTTTTGCTGTAGTATGTTTTATCTAAAATGTATTTAAAACAATAGAAGAAAGATATCAGTACCTCAATAGAAGCAGGAAGACCTTGTGGAATAATTCTAAATTTATTTTTTCCCAGGCGCAGGTAGGATAAACTCTTCAAAGGTTTGAAAGCTAAAGGATTGACATTGGTTTCACTGAGATTGTTTCCTTCCAGTTCTAAGGAGACCAACTGATTTAAACCTATAAAAATAAAATTATAAGAATAATCAAACAATTGAAAAAAACATGCAGTTTGGGCTTGGAGTGTAGCTCATTGGTAGAGTACTTGGCTAGCATGCATGAGATCCTGATTTTGATCCCTGGCACCACAAAAGAGAGAAGAAAAATAGCCATACAGTTTTTATAGCCTGCATGTGAAAAAGTCTACTTTATTTGAAAATGTATAGTTTCCTAGGGCTGGGGATTTAGCTCAGTGGTTCTTGCCACCTGCCTTGCAAGCACAAGGTCCCAAGTTTGAACCCCAGAACAACAACAACAACAAAAAAGTATATAGTTTCCTTATCTTTGCCCCTTCCCTACCCCATATATCCTATTCCCAAGTATTTTGCCCATCTCAGATGCGTATTTTAACCAAGACAAGATGGCAAAGAAGAAATCATTCAAGTGTTATAGTATACAAATATGTGTAATTAACAGAAGCAAGAGGGAGTATTATAGATATCTCTAGAGGTCATGCTGGCCAAGCAGGGATTTGGAATTTAGATACTTATAGAGTAAGTTGTAGAAAGTCATTGGCAGCATTAGCAGTAACAGGTTGATATGAATGGCAGCATGATAGGGATAGGTTGATGAGTAATTCCTTTTTCTAGGACATAAAAAGGAGCACTGTTTCCCTGGCAAATCCCTGTCTCTGAACAAGAGAGTTAGTAACAAAGCAGAGTAGTGAATTATCTGTAATTCCAGGGATAAGTAAGACTTCACACAGAATAAAGAGCTAATTATTTCAGAATAAAGAGCTAATGTTTTTTCTAAGATACCATTTTGGTAGCACAAATGTGAACTCACATGTAGTTCATATTAACCTATTAGTGTACTTGTTCTATATTCTTTGTTGCCTTTAGTCTCTTTAATAGAGCAGAAATGAAATTTTCCAGTGTTTTCTATATATGACAAAGCCTATCAAAACTTGGGTTTATTAATTTTTTCATGTGTACCTTGAAATGCATTTGGGAATTGAGTATTTCCTAACTACATAATATGCTGACTTGGCAGTTTGTATAATGTACTGTTCTCTGCTCATCAGCAAAAGTGTTTTGCTCCGTGAAGTTTCTTAGGAGCTAAAGGAAACAGTTGGAATTGCTAGGTTTATCAACATGTACATAAAAATGTGTTTCAAAAGAAGTTAACAGAAAGCACTGAGCACTACATCTCAAGAGCTCTGCTGGATAATGAGGAAGACAAAAGGAAAATGCAGGCACTCTTTGTTTAAAGGAATCATACAATCTAATTAAAGGTGTCAGCCAAATTCTGTGAAGAGTAGAATATGATATAGCCTCTTTTGTAGGGTTACATTATGTGTCCATCAGCTATCTCATGTGATCCAGAAACAAGCCTCATTCCTGCAGGTTCAGATGCTTCTCAATAAAATCTGTCTTTCAGAAAGCTAGGCTGTGGCCACATTGTGAAACAGAAGTATCAGGGACCCAGGGAGAGCCCACACCTTCAAGAACAGAGCTCCCAAAGTCAAGCTACTACCCGCAGGATCACTGCCTTTACTGAAGGACAGCACCTCAGCTTTGTAGAAAGCCTGCCTATTTCTACTGTACACATAATTCTCATATGCTTAGTTTTAGGTTCCAACACATGACAAATTAAAATAACATGTTATTATAGGCATATCACAAATTGTAGCTAGTGAGATGAAGGAAGCCCCATCACCATACCACCAAGAGCCAACAAAAATACCAGTACAGCACACCAAAATTCATGCCATTGTGTGGGCAGTTTTTAGTGCAGCTCTCTGGGTATTGGATGTGTAGGAGAGTTATTGTGTTGTACATGATGAAAACCTGGAATCACTGAAAGTTTTATTTAAGGTTAGTGTGCTTTTTAAAAGGCAATACGCAATGTAACATACACTTTTAAGTTTTAACAGTCAATAAATATTTATCAATTTAAATGGCTTTTGGCAGTACTGTAAATCAGATTTCCAGATGACAACAGAAGAAAGGTTCTAAGGAAATATGTCAGAAAAAAAAATGTTAAATACCTGAAAAAGTTTGTTCATCAATAGCCTGAAGATTATTCTCATTAATGTTGAGTTCTTCTAAGGTGGGTGGTAATTCTGAAGGAATGTGTACCAAATTATTTTCATCTATATTTAGACGCACCAACTTCTTCAGAAGCTTAAAAAGTAAATATTAAAATTACCATTTCTATCTGGTCACCTATACAGTCACATATGCCACACAGTGGACACTTTGAGGTAGGGACTGAGGGTCTCACAAACTTACATGTCCTTTGGTTTAATAATGTCCAAGCCACATAGCAATATTCTCCCTATAGAGTAAACATTACCTCAGTAATAACTTTTATTCTCATGCATTTGCAGCAAACTACATTTGATGACTTTTTGTATTCCACTCATCCATATTTATATAGCGGCTTAGAAAGCTAGAGAACAAAGCAAAAACTGAAGAAAAAAGAAAAGCTACTATAGCAATGGATCAGTCATATTTTGCTAGGTCTCAGGTTTTCACCTTCACAGCAGTAGATAGAAATTTCAATAAATCATGTATTAATCTGAATCTGTCTTAAATGCTTAAGAGTTAACATGGTTTTTAATTCATATTTGTAAAACTCCATTTCATATGTACACTAATATTTATGTGAGGAAAAGGGTCATAATATAACATGAATGACTGTGTAAAATTTTCAAAACGAAGTACTACAAATATCTTAAGCTGTTCCTATGTGGTACTCAAACAAATGACTACCTGGAAAAGTGCATTTCCGCACTTACAGTTGCATGTTTGTTGACCAAATCTGGCTTGCAACAACAAAAATGGAGAACTGAAACTGAGAATGCTTCTGTGAAGCCACATGGAATGATATACTTCTCTAGTGACCATATTCTAATTTCAAATTTGTAATTGAATAAGAGAATCCCCAAGCAAGAAAAGGAGGTAATCAGCTACAGTGTTTTTCTCTTGACCAAAAACAGAACATAGTTGACTCATAATGCCAGCGGTTGCTCAGTCAGAAAGATGAATAACATGAAGCACTGGGAGCCCTATTATCTGTCTGCTCAGACTCCAGAGGAGAACCATGAGCTAAGAATGCAAGAAGATGGTGATGTGTTTGAGATTTGTCAGAAGAGCCAGGAAGCGCCATCCAAAGGAACAAAGTTTAAGCTAATGAGATACAGTGTTTTACTTATGGCTCTTAAGGCACACACACATTTTGAATTTTCCTTTACACACCGAAACCTTTTAACTTTTCTTATCTTCTGTTTTTGTTGCCCTGAAATGTTTTGATCTTCTCTTTTCCTTTTTTAAGAAAGATTTTTTAGTTAGATCTATTTCCTTCAAAGGTTTACTCTACATTATTTCCTATCCACTGTTTTTCCCTCCTCCTCCCCATCCCACCCAATACCAATTTTCATCTGATTCCCTTTGTTTTTCCAGAACCTGTTGCCAGAGCATTTGCCACTAGATTTTGCCCATTGTCCAAAAGTAAGAAAGCAGTGCCCTGTTGACCTGAATATGTTCATACAGGTTTCATATAAGCCCCAATTTAAAAATTCCTATACAAAGCTTTTTCTAAGACATCAGATTTCAATGTTTTCGGCTACCTGGGAAGAAAGTACTCTATAAATTCAAAGCATTAGTTATGTCACAGATGCATTTAAATTGGTATATGTAAGGTGAGACTAAAAACATAGGGACATCAGAGAAGGAACTTCCTTAATGCAGAAAAAAACTGCCAGTTAAAACCTTTTTGCTGTTTCTTCCCCACTTCAGACTACGACTAGTGCAAGTCATAATGAAGCCATTCATATGGATTGTTATGTACAAATTCGAGTATGTGGTTACCTTGAAGGCTTTTGGACCTATGGCAGAAGAAGAGATATTATTTTTGCTCAGATCAAGCCTTTCCAGATTTGGTAATCCGTTAAATGCTTCAGCCGGGATGGAGGTGATAGAATTCCCTAGGATACACAGCAGTTGTGTTAGACATATGCACATATTCATACATGTGTACATGTATATAGGTGTGTGTACACATATCAAGAGAGAGCTTGGTCTGAAGGATAAAACAGTACTTAGAACAAGGGCAGGAAATAAAGAAATGCATGTTTGGAAAAATAATCTTGACAATTTACCATAGTCAAAATTTTCTAAGGGTTCATCCATACCTCATGTTTCAGATGAAGCTGCTTAAATAGCCAGAATGCAGTCTGCTGGACAGTACGAGTAACATTATGCATCAGCAAAAAAAGAAGTGTTTCTGTGAGGTTATATAGAAACTGATTTTGTTCTTCATATTTTCCATTGCTTTTTCCCTGGACTGGGAGCATGATGTTCTTTATCCAAGAAATCACAGGCAAATCACTCACTTCTTCTGAGCATGCTTCCTTCTCTGTGTAAGAAACTTGGGAAGATCCTCTCTCAAACCCTACCCCCCAGGTCTAACATTATCTCTCTCTCTCTCTCTCGCTCTCTCTTTCTCTTTCCTCAGAGTGGTGTAACAAATATGCAAAGTTCATTGGGCTTCAGCTTTAAGAATTTTTGTTTCACCAGGCATGGTGGTGCACACTTGTAATCCAAGTACTCTGGAGGTAAGGCAGGAAGAATCACCACAAGTTCAAGACCAGCCTGAGCTACATAATGAGACCATGTTTTAAAATCCCACCCCAATTGTTTTTTGTTTTGACACTTTAAGTACACTATAGAATGATTTTTAAATGATTTTAGACATGGAAAATAACCTTTCCATGATACATACTATAAAAACCATAGAGTGCTGGTTGTATAATCACAACTCTAGGAGGCCGAAGCAGTAAAATCACAAATTCAAGCCCAATCTGAGCAACTTAACAACTTAGTGGCAACCTGTCTCAAAAGGGCCAAGGATGTAGTTTAGCACGAAGGCCGTAGATTCTAAGACCTAGTACCACTCCCAAGACACTCACCAGGCATGGTGGTGCACACCTGTCATCCCTGTAGTAAGAGAGGCTAAGACAGGAGGATTATAAATTTGATTTGCACCTGAGACCCCTGAGTTTGATCCCCAATACTGGGGGGGTGGTGTAGTGACCTTCTTATAAAATGACAGTATAGGGGCTGGGAATTTAGCTCAGTGGCACCACTGCCTGCCTTGGAAGTGCAAGGTCCTGAATTTGATCCCTAGTACCCCCCCCAAAAAAAAACCCTACAGTATAGCCCAACACAGTTTGTTTATCCTTCCCAGACACATTGAATTTTTTTAGGGTAGGGCATACTTGACAGGCTACAGGGTGGGGGTGGAGTAATTTGATAGGCACGAGAGAAATTCATTAGGTTATATGAAAGTGGGGTGAAAGCCTCTGTTAGGAAAGCCATGGAAGCATCTGGTACCCTTGACACCAGCCACATCCTCCTGAAGATGGCCATCCCTGCCGGAATATGTAGGGTCTGTCCTGATGTCCTCAAGCCCACCCTGATATACCACGACTAGCCAGCCCCCCACACCTTAGCCTCCTGTCCCTTCACACAGAATCCTCCCAGCTGGCCTTACAGAGACATGAGCAAAAGGTCTGGAAACCATATACCTACAGGGGGAAACAGCTCTGGAGTGCTGGTAGGTGACAAGCTGTGGAACTCCCCAGCACTGCCGAGGGCAATGGTGAGCCGCCTGGGAGAACTGTTGGGCTGTCACTACAAAGTTAAACATGTAATTTCCCATCCCACTCCACAGTTCCACCCCTGGGCATAATCCTGGAGAAATGAGGTCATGGGTCCACACAGACATTTGTATGCGGATGTTTATATCAACTTTGTACACATTTGCCTCATACTGGAAACAAGCCACATGTCTCCTCACTGGTAACTGGCCTTTCATACAACAGGACACTACCTAGTGATACAAATGAACTGACATATTCAAAACAAACATGGTTCTCAAAAGCATTAGACACCAACCTTGAAAAGCTCCATATTGTGTGATTCCACTTATGAGACATTCTCAAAAAGGCAAAAGCATAGGGATAGAAAACTTTTCTGTCAGAGCCAGGGACTAGGGAAGGTAGGGAATGAAGAACTTTGGGGAGTGAGTGATTAAAATGTTCTATGTCTTGATCATGGTAGTGTGTGTACAGCTGTATGTATTTATCAAAACTCAGAGCTATACAGTAACGATTGGTTTTACACTATACAAAGTATAGCCCATTAAAGCTGAGTTTTTAAAAGGTGCATGGGGAAACACCTAGTTTCAAGGTTGCTTTACACCTAACTGAGCCATCTGCAGTAAGCTTCTCTCTTGTAGGGTTCATGTGTGTAAAGATGATAAAATTAGTCTCTGTTTTGAAATTGAAACATAGTATTCATAGAGCAGCAAAGTCACATTTATGCCTAAAGCACAAAGTAAAACAGAAGTCAAATTTCTTACCCATGAGCTCCAGACTTGTTATCTCTGGGGCCATCAGTGGTGGGACCTGGGTGAGGGCAGCATGGATGCAGCTGATGGTCCTGTAGGACAAGGAGCAGCCACTGGGCAGGCGAGGCCTGCCTCTCGGGAGAGCAGGGATGGGGAGCTGGCAGGGCATTTGGAACACATCTCCTCTTACAGCCTCTTCTTCCTCTTCCTCGTCATCCTCCTCCTTGCCCCTTCCACAGCGTTGCTGTTGATATGCTGGTCTCCTGATCTTGCCAGGCCTTTGCTTTCTCTCTCTCCTGTTCCCCCTCTCACGGTGAGGTTTGCCCTGGTTTCTATGTCTAGCAGTCTCTTTCTTGTGCTTTCGATCTTCTTTAGATTCTTCTTCTTCCTCAGATTGAAGTGCCTCTTTTCTAAATACTTGGTCCATTTCCACCTGAGGAGGTGGCAGTTGCTTAGGCAGTACATTGGTAGGTTCTCTTTGTTCTGAAGAATCACCAGAAAATTCAGTTCTACCATTTAACATGTTATCATTGACTAGGGAATAGGAGATTAATGACCACGCAGCAAGAAGGTAGCAGGGGCAAGTGGATGATGTTAATAAGAGGAAAAATCATAATGAAAACAAGGTTAGTGAATATTATTCCCTCCGAGTATTTGAGTGCCATTGAAAGATGAAATAAATGCATCTTCAGTTTTTTTCTTGAAAAGTTTTAATCATTATTTCTGTTTTATAACATCTGTTATAATTTTTCATGCCTCTGTGCCTTTTGCTAGCTTTTGCATTAAATAACATGTATTTTTGCTAGAATATAATGCTTGCTTAGGACTAAAGAAGGAATAATATTGCTACATGATGCAAAATGGAAACCAGCCTTATCATGAGCTTGTGATATCATCAGATGTGATATCTTTATAATAGATACTGTTCCATTTATTTGGATCTTTGTTTAGTTTTGGTTTTGGTTTTGATTTTTTGAGACATGGTCTCACTTTGTAGTTTAGGTTGGCCTTGAGCTCATTATGTAACTCTGGATGCCCTTGAACTCATGAAAACCCTCCTGCCTCAGCTTCCTAAGCACTGGGATTACAGGTATGTGCCACTGAACCCAGCTTGGCTTATTTTTTATATGAGAATTTATAGACTGTCCAGGTATGAAAAGTTAAAACAGATGTATAGTATGATAAGGAAACTGACTTTGTTTATAGATTTATTATTTTCATCCATTTTATTCTCAGCTCCAGGGGCCTGAGAGCATACTCTGTAATCAGAATTGTAGGGAACAGGGAAAGAGGACATTACCAGAACCCCTGCAGTGGGTCCTGGTCTCCTGTGAACCAGGACAGTACAAGGTGAATTAAAGAATTAAGACAGGAAACAAGACATACAGAAGAAGCTGGATTCTGGGCCTGATTAGTGCTGCTCTGGGCAGCAAAGACAAAGGCACCCAAGCTTGCCACTGTTAATGGGTTCATAGGCAGTAACAGATAACTCAGAGGGCGATGATAATCCTAAATTGATAAGGATCTTATAATTGGAGGAAGCAGCAGCTATCTCAGAGGGTGGCAGTATTCCTATGGCCATGTAGCTCTTATGCTGATGAGGATCTTAGGTTGATTGTGACAGTAGATGTGCAAAGATGATCTTACAGTAATAGGTGGGATGAATTAAATTGATAAGGAATTTGTCCCTCCCCAGGTGAAACCTTTCTCTTACTACTCAGTTCTCAAGGAACCAGGATGATCATTAGCTGATGTAATGTTGCCCTTGAGTGACACAGCATCACAGGACCATTGAGGCCTCAGCTGTGACCAGAGGCAAGCAAACAGAGTTATGTTTCACCATGACATAGGCTGCCTGTAAGCAAGAAGACTAATTTAATTGTGAGATGATTTTTCCCCAAAATTATGTAGAATGGCTCCCAAGACAGAGTTTTAAAGTTCTCTTTTTCTGTGCTGAATTCCTTACTTAAATGAGCCACCTAAATTTGTTGCCTGAGCTTTATGCATGACATGCTGGACCTAAGTGCTGTTGCTTTTCTGTAGATACATGTACTGGAGTACTCTTCATCATTCCATGATGCTGGGAACAGAGCAGATAATTATCGAAAGCCAGTCTACATTTACCTATAACTTTATGTCTGCGGCAGAACATAGGGAAGACAGTATAGAAGTCTAAATTCATTCTCAGCTGGGTGTGGTGGCACATGCCAGCACTTGGGAGGCTGAGGCAAGAGAATCGGGAGGTGAGTGGTAAATGTGCCAGTTACCATGTGCCTCAGAAGCAGTTGGCTGTAAGCTGGGCATGGTGGCATATGCCTGTAACCCCAGCACTGGAGAGGCTGACGCAAAGGATTGCTAAAAGTTTGAGGCCAGCATGGGACACATAGTGAGTTCAAGGCGAGCCTGAACTATATAGCGAGACCCTGTCTCAAAAATTAATTAATTCACTCTCATCCTCTGAGTGAAGAGTTCTAGAGAAAAGTGAGCTTATAGTGCACAAGTTTTCCTCCATCAAAATTTATAAATTCATTTAATCACCTTTCTATGTTCATTTAATGCTGTGTATAAACTGCTCCCAGGAGGAACTCAGGAAATATAATCATTTGAAGAAGTTACTTGTGATGTCGGTTCAGTATATATTATAAAGTTTAGATTTTTTTCACATCTCTCACAAAACATGCAGAAAAGAGAATAGGAAAAATATTGGTCAGAGGAGACTAAAGCTATCATATTGAAACATTTAAAAGCCTTCCCATATATTCCAAGTTTATTTTTCCAAGGTAACTACAACATTTCAAGAATATGTAAGTCTCTTGAAAAATGTCTAAGACTTTCTGGATCTTGCCTTATAAATATTGTATTTTACTCTAAGGAATGCATTTCATTGAATACTTTTCTAACATTTTTCAAAAAGCATAATGTTTCAGTGAAATATTGATAGTACAAAGTGAAATACAATTCCTAAGTATTCTAAAGTTGTTCCTGGCAGGAAACTTTTTTCAATAACTACCCTGTGATCATCTATGTGTAAGAGCAATCTACCTGGGTTGTTGTTGTTGTTGTTGTTGTTGTTGTTGTTGTTGTTGTTGTTTTGTACCGGGGATTGAACTCTGGTCCTTGTGCTTGCGAAGCAGGTGGCGGAACCACTGAGCTAAATCCCCGGCTAATCTACTTTGGTTATAGATAAGAGAAATTGCCTCCATACGTGCCTTTCAAATTATTTAACAAGTGTGTACTCATTTTCAAAAGTAACTGTCTAAGTTTTTCTTATATTTGGCCTCTTTTTATATAGGCAGCCTGGGCTTCCCTCTCAAGAGTCCCCCATTTGACTAGGTACAAGCCTCAAGGGAGAAGTCAGGGAGCATCCAACAAAGCTCATACTGTGACTTGGACACAGGAGAGCCACACTAGAACATGGTGTTTTCACTACACTTCTGTATGTCCCCAGAGTACTGAAGCCATGCTGTGGATTGCTCTGGTACCTTTGAGTGCTTAACAGCCAGGAGGGTTGAGGCTGCATTCTATTCAGTTATAAATCACTCCTCCTTTGTTCTTATGACATCAGTGTCTTCATTTAAGATAACTGGACCCAAGGTGATTTGGTTTAAATGAGATAATGCACATACAAACCAAAACACAGCCCTTAATTCATAATAACTCAGGGTCTGCTATAGAAATCTTACCATGCCATCTCCAAAGCTAAAGGTCACATGTGGAATGTGATCTGGTCCACATTTATTCATTCTGATAGAGCTAGAAGTATAAGGCCACAATCTATTATTTCTCTACCATATACTGCCCCAGGTATTTCTGTTTATCAGCATTGTGCCTGATGAGTAGGCTATTATAATTTATACCTTAAAGTAGCAACAAAACAGAAACAAAGGAGTTGACTAAATCACACATGGTGTTTTGGCTACATCTCTGTACCAGTATCAGTGCAGACTGGGCAGCATTCTCCTTCAGGTGTAACCATGTAGGGACACGTCTGGGTTTGACACATGGTTTCATCACAAAGCACTCTTCCATCTGAGCAGAGGCAGGTGGTACAGGGGTCAGGAGACCATACCGCTTTGTTGTACATGGTCATGCCCTTCACCAAGCAGTGTCCCTTCTTTCCTAGAAGAACACAATAACAGATGTTTAAATTATTCAGTTGCCAGCATCTCTGAATAGAATTAAATGCTATATACAGTCAGACTGATACAACTGCACAAGAGTAGAATCCTGTGTGTTTATACACAGAATAAAAATATCCTGCAAACATAGCCCCTGGAAATGCTTTTTACTGACCCTCTTTTCAGCTCCTCTCACTAAGCTCTGATAGTGACCTCTTCATGGTATCAGGACTTCGAATTGCACATCCACCTTTCATCTATCTGTCAGGATAGACTGAGTTACACAATAGAACAAGTCACCCCCAAATCAGTTCTCTCATTCAACTGAGTGTCCAGTGTGAGCACACAGGGGCTTGGCTCATTGTAGTCTCTTGATAACAGACAACAGGCTTCCTCAAGCACACTGCCCTAGTTGCCACAGTGGTGAGAATGAGAGATTGCACATTGCAACTTGAGTTCTAAAAGTGTCTTAATTATACAAGCAAAACAGACTGTCTGGCTACACCTAACAAACACAGTGTAGTTTTCCCACAGCCTCAGAGAGCTGGAATAGCACTGACAAGCAGAACATCGTCCACCCTTGTTGATGTACACAGGGAAAAGTGATGTAGAGAGCATACTTCCATGTATTTTTTAGACATCACAGCGCTCTTTTTTGAATGACTACATTATTAAAGTACACAGACCATAACAGTTACAGTGCACTTGTGGGTTTGATATACCTGTTATAATAAAACATTTTTAATTAAAGGAAGCTTTGTTACGTAAATATTAAGTATATTTTATGCAGCACAAGACAATTCCTATTCACTCAGTGTAGGGCAAGCAAGTCAGATTGCCATGGACTAGACATACATACCTCATGTACTTACCCACTTATCTGCAACCCTATACCAGCCAAACAGGCCTTAGAGAACTGAGGGGATGTCTTCCTCCCATCTGTGGTGCCATTCTTGAGAACTTCTCCATCTGAGCCACTGTCTGTGAACCCTACACTTAGATGAGCTCTCACATTGATCCGCTCTCCTCTGTATCCATAATATCTCAGCCCAACTCAGACCCTACCCACGTCTCATTTGAATCCTTGCAATCTACTAGTCCACCTTACTCAATTACTCCTCTGGAAAAATACATGTAGATGTTTTTTTCCTGACTGTTTAACTATTCTACCTATACCCTATCAAAATTTCAACAGTGGTTGATAGGTTGGTTGGTTGGTTGTTGGATTTTCAGAAATAGAAATGCTGGGCCGGGGATTTAGCTCAGTGGTTCTGCTGCCTGCCTTGCAAGTGCAAGGACCCGAGTTCGATCCCCAGTACCAAAAAAAGAGAAAGAAATAGAAATGCTTATCCTCAAATTCTTACAGAACTCTAAGGGATCCCAAGTAGCAATGATGAGAAAAAAGAATGTTTGATCTCTCACACTTACAGATTTCAAAACACTACAAAAAGCTTAGCACAAAGCCACTCTAATCAGCTTATGCCAGCATGAATCTAGTTAAGTTGAAACATATTTTCAAGTGTGACAAGACCATGCAATCAGGAAAGAAAAGGCTCTTCAACAAATGTTGTTGAGACAACTGGATACTTGCATGCAAAAGAATGAAGATGAAAACAAAAGAATGATATTGAACTCCTACCCTACTATATCAGATAAAAAAATTAACTCATAATGGTTCAAATCCCTAAACGTAAAAGCTTAACACTGTGAAACTCTGAGAAGTCATATGAGTAAATCTCTATGATCTTGTAATTAGCAATGGGTTCTTAGACATGACACCAAAAGCACAAACAACAAGAGAAATGATGAATTAGACTTCATTAAAATTTAAAATGTAGTGTATGGAAGGCCATTATCAAGAAAGTAAAAAGGCAACATACACTTGAGAAAATTTGCAAATCATTTCTTAGTGTCTAATATCCAAGACACACATAAGAACTCTTACAGCTCAACAACAGGACAGTTCAGTTATGAAATGGACAGGCCAGGCATGCTTAGAATCCCAGAATTTGGTAGGATTGCAAGTTTGATGCCATGCTAGGCTATGACCAAGATGCTGTCTCAAACAATACAAAACAAAAATGGACAAAGGACTTGAATAGACATTTTTCCAAAGAAGACCCACAATTCAGATGATAAGCTCAACATCACTTAGCCACTAGGAACATGGAAATCAAAAGCACAATGAAATACCATTTCATGCACATAATCAAAGAGAAAAATATAGGATTACCATATGGCCTAGAAGTTGCACTCCTAGGTTTATACATAAAAGAATTGAAAACGTATTCAAATAGAATTTGTACACAAATATTAATGGTTGGACTACACACAATAGCTAAAAGGTAGAGATAAGCCAAATGCCTGTCATAAAGTGATGAATAGATAAACAAAATGTGGTCTGTACATATGAGGGGAATGTATTCCACCATAAAAAGGAAGGAAAGCTGATGCAGGCTAACCGTGGATAAATGATGGACACATGCTCAATGAATGGAGACAAAAAGCTACATAGTGTGTGATTCTGTTTACCTGATATTTTCCAGAACAGACAAGTTTATAGAGACAAAGGACAAATTAAGGTCTGTCAGGGTTGGAGACGGAAGAATGAGTTTTGTACAGGATTTCCCTATGAGGTGATGAAATGTTCAGGAAAATATTGTGAATGTACTAACTGCCACTGAATTGTATATTTGAAATGTTAAATTTTATGTCATGTGTGATAGTACAATAAAAAGAAGTACTTTAAAGAACGCTGGGGTCCGGGGATTTAGCTCAATGCTTCCTCTGCCTGCCTTGCAAGCACAAGGTCCTGAGTTCAATCCGTGATACCCCCTTCCCAGAAAAAACCCTGGAAACAATTTGGACCATTTAGAAATGTTTAGTATACATCTGTTATACTTTTTAAAATGGATATCCCCCTGTATTTCTTTTTTTTTTTTTTTTTAACCAGGCACAGTAGCATGCACCTATAGTCCCAGCTACTTGGGCATCTAAGGCAGGAGGATTACTGGAGCCCAAGAGTTGGAGGCCAGCCTGAGCAACATAGCAAGAATTTATATCAAACAAATAAATGAATACAAATAAGAATTTTAAGTACTTAACAATTTATTCCAAGCATTGCTTGGGCAGGTGTCATTTCAACTGTTTGGTTCTTGTTAACACAATATACACTCATATATCTGTTTGCTTGTTTTATGTCAACTATT